CAGCCAAGGCCAAGGACGGAGGACTGATATCGGATGTGATATTTTTTGACTTCTGAAAAGCACTTGATCGAAACCCACGGGTCTCGCTGCTCCAAGAACTCGAATTTTACAGAATCCAAAAAAAAATCCTATAGTGAATCAAGGCGCTCTTATCAGGCACATAATTTCGAGTTGAAGTAGGCTCCACATATTCTTCTGCGCCGGCCTTCATTGGAGTTCCTCAAGGCCCCTTTTGGGGCAACTGCCGGTTCTGATGACGACCTTCCCGTTGTTCTTGCAGGTCACTTTCTACTTTTTGCGGACGACTAGAAATCTTGGAGCTCCATTGTCGGTCCCCTCCTGTGGAGTCCACATACAACAGCTCCATTAATACAATAATCGCGTTGTCTACCTATGATGTAAGGTGAACGTGACGCCCATTAGGGGTGTCCAGTGAGCTGCTACGGGGTTATTAGCTGGCCTAAGGCGTCTCACTGCACCTAAACTTCCTGTATCGTACGGTGTGGGTGGCCGTCTATGAGTTACGCGTGCGCTGAGCCTGCCATACTAGGCGATAGGGAGAAGACAGAGGACTGGGGACACAGCTGTATTGCCAGGACAAAACATAAAGAGCGCCTGCGTAAATATATAGGATGGTTAATTGACCAAATATGGCCGTTCACTTGTTTGTTCCGTACAGCCAATGGTGTTGTTCCGGTCGTGAACAATTTCAGGCCCACTACGCTGGTCGTGTGTTGCTAAGCGGTGTTTGGTTGGAGCTGCCGACTGACCTACTTTCCGGACGTGTCGTACCGATGGTGACCTTGGGGATGCATCACTCTCTACACATGCGCATTTTCCCCTTTCTGAGCGCGTCCTGACACAGCTCTTTTCCAATGAGCATCGTCTCTTTCTAATTAAACTAGAACTTACTTTCGTCCTCCTTGACAAGTGTTATTTGACGGTATTTCACCGTTAGTCTAACCGACACACGAGGGGCACGATGAGATGTTTTACACGGATTCACTGATCAATACATGAAATCGGGGCTTCTGCCCAACTTTTTTCACTTTTGGTAATTTGTGTGAGGAACAAGCTTTATTCTTCGACCGTACCCACTGCATTATGGCACTGCTACACTCACTCTGACGGCACTCCCGTAACTTTTTTCTTCATATCCAAGTTCGTCAATGCTCGCTCACTGGATCTAGTAAGTGCAAATACGGAAAGTTTCACCCGCGCACAGCCCCCTCTGGGACGAGTTTATTCTTACCCACTTAAGATTTCATTAGGATCTAAACGACCTGGTTTTCCGCTGTAATTTCTGTTTGCCTTGTGGAAGTGTTTTACGATTTCGTTGACGGCGTTCATTTGGCCCTATGTATCAACTCTATCTCCCCATTTTAAAAATTCACCACATCGCATTACTTCTAAAAACTTGGTATCTCCAGCTCGAAAAGGGACTGCCCCCAAACCGTTCTTGCGTGACAAACAAGCTCGTATTTATGAACAGCTTAACCCAGGCCAAGGACGGGGGACTCGTATCGGATGTGATATTTTTTGACCTCTGAAAAGCACTTGATCGAACCCCACGGGTCTCGCTGCTCCATGAACTCGACTTTTACGGGATCCAAGAAAAAATCCTACAGTGAATCAAGGCGCTCTTATCAGGCACATAATTTCGAATTAAAGTATGCTCCACCTATTCTTCTGCGCCGGCCTCCATTGGAGTTCCTCAAGGCCGGCCCGAGTTCCTCAAGGCCCCCTTTTGGGGCCACTGCCTTTTCTGATGACGACCTTCCAGTTGTTCTTACAAGTCACTTTCTACTTTTTGCGGACGACTAGAAACCCTGGAGCTCCAGTGTCGGTCCCCTCCTGTGGAGTCCACATACAACAGCTCCAGTAATACAATAATCGCGTTGTCTACTTATGACATACGGTGACCGTGACGCCCATTAGGCGTGTCCAAGGAGCTGCTACGGGGGTATTAGCTGGCCTAAGTCGTCTCACTGCACCTCAACTTCCTGTACCGTACGGTGTGGGTGGCCGTTCACGGGTTAAGCGTGCGCTGAGCCTGCCAGACTACGCGATAGGGAGGAGACAGAGGACTGGGGAGGCGGCTGTATTGCCAGGACAAAATATAAAGAGCGCCTGCGTAAATATATAGGATGATTAATCGGCCAAATATGGTCGTTCACTTGCTCGTTCCGTACAGTCAGTGGTGGTGTTCCGGTCGGGAACATCCTCATGCCCACCACGCTGGTCGTGTGTTCCTAAGCCGTGTTTGGTGGGTGCCGCCGACTCACCTACTTTCCGGACATGTCGCACCGCTGGTGATCTTGGGGATTCGTCGCTCTCTGCACTTGTGCATTTTTCTCTTTCTGAGCGCTACCTGACACGGCTCTTTTCCAAACA